GCACCCTCACTGCCCCGGGCGGGGGCTGGGGGTGCTGACCCTGGAAGCCCGCCTTCCTGAGGAATCCGCTTCTCTCCGAGGCACCCCACCGCCTTCCCTAGACTCACCCCAGCCAGAGGCGTGGGGCGTCTCTCAGCCATGGCCCTGGGCGGTCACTCCAGGCGGTCACTCCAGGGCCAGGGCCAGTCTACACCCGGCCAGCACGCTACCTGCCGCCCAGGGGCCTCTGGTGCCCAGGGGCCATTGTGGGAACCCCGTAACTTTTTCAGAAAGCCAAATAGTGAGCCCCTGCGCGGTGAGGTGGGGTGGGGGTGGGGTGTGTTTGCTTCTGGGCAAGGAATTTCCTCATATATTTGACCCTCAGAGGCATGTTTGCCTTGGGGAGGCTAAGATCCAGCATTTGAAGTCTGGCCGTTCACTGACGAGATCATCAGTCACTTGCCCACCAGTGTCTGCTGAGGCCCTGCCAGGCCAGGCCCAGGGGCAAGTGCTGGAGACCAGCCCCCTTGTGTTTGTTAGCCACGGACATGGGAGCTGGAAAACCTTTCTTTTTTAAAATAGATTTTTATTGACTTTAGAGAGAGAGGGAGAGGGAGAGAGAGAGAGACATCAATGATGAGAGAGAATCACGGATCGGCTGCCTCCTGCATGCCCCCCGCTGGGGATCGAGCCTGCAGTCCGGGCCTGTGCCCTGACTGGGAATCAAACCGAGACCTCCTGGCTCGTAGGTCGGCGCTCAACCCCTGAGCCCCCCGGCCGGGCGAAGTCACCCCTTCTTTATCTTCATAGGATGTAGTGTAGGCTCCTGAGTTTACCTTTTCCCCACGTGCAGGTGCTGGGGGCTGGGCTCCGGATGGGACGCCCACACCCCCAGGTGGGTCGGGCACCTCCCTGGGAGTGAATCGGGAGTCTGACCTGGGTCCTGACCTGGACGCCGGGGGGGGGGGGGGGGCGGGGAGTGACCCAGATGCTAGGCCAGCCCAGGGATCTTTTAAAACCCCGTGTCCAGACCGCACCCTGGACCAGTCCAGACAGCGTCTCAGGGGCCACACCCGGTCACCAGTTCTGTTACAGCTTCGATACCACCCACGGGTCCCCAGGGGCAGCCACGGGGGAGTGCCGGTGGCTCGGCCAACCAGCTAAGAGCGATGTTTCCCTCATGAAATGACCTCCCAGATGCTCCCCTCTGGGCAGCAGAGGGGGAAAGGGCGGGAGCATTTGGCTGGGCTTCAGCATCCGCGGCTAGGAGGAGGATGAGCTGGGAGGATGCTGAGCTGGGAGGAGGCTGAGCAGGGAGGAGGCTGAGCCGGCAGGAGGCTGAGCCCGGCTGCCTCCTGCACGCCGCACACTGGGGATCGAGCCTGCAGTCCGGGTCCCCAGGGGCAGCCACGGGGGAGTGCGGGTGGCTCGGCCAAGTAGCTAAGAGCGATGTTTCCCACATGAAATGACATCCCAGATGCTCCCCTCTGGGCAGCAGACGGGGAAAGGGCAGGAGCATTTGGCTGGGCTTCAGCATCCGAGGCCGGGAGGATGCTGAGCTGGGAGGAGGCTGAGCTGGGAGGGTGCTGAGCTGGGAGGGTGCTGAGCTGGGAGAATCTGGGAGGGAGGATTCTGAGCTGGGAGGATACTGAGCTGGGAGGAGGCTGAGCTAGAAGGGAGGATGCTGAGCTGGGAGGATACTGAGCTGGGAGGAGGCTGAGCTGGGAGGAGGCTGAGCTGGGAGGATGCTGAGCTGGGAGGAGGCTGAGCTGGGAGGAGGCTGAGCTGGGAGGAGGCAGAGCTGGGAGGGAGGATTCTGAGCAGGGAGGAGGCTGAGCTGGGAGGAGGCTGAGCTGCAGGGAGGAGGCTCAGCTCTCCTGATTGCCTCTGGCTTTGATTTTTGCAGCTGTGTTTCCTCAAGCTTCTACGCCACCAGGTAATAGCTCCCTTTCAGCGGAAGTATCCCCTGCAGGACGGGGTCCCTTTGGTCATGCATCCACAGAGGGCGCCTGTGTCCGGCTGCCGCGAGGGAGGAACTGGGGGCTGGCGCCCTCACAGAGGGGCTGGGGTCCCCCGGCTTTCGCAGCAGGGAGCTGGGAGATCATGGATAAAGGACGGGCTGGACCCCCGCCCTGCCACCTGCACATCCGATCCCATTTCCGGGCTCCCCTGCACTCATTGTAGGGTCCTGCCGACCACTCACACCTCGGTCCCCTCCCTCCCTGCCTCCCTCCCGGGCACAATCCCGCTGTCTGTGCCAGCTCCGTCCATTCCCATTTTGCGACTCACTGTTGCGCCTGGAGGAATTCTGGCTCCCACGCCCGGGAAAGCCACCGTGGGCTCCGTCTGCCTTCACAGGAGGCAGCAGCTCCTGCGGGGGGGTCATGTCAGGCCCCGTGGGCTCCTTCTCCAGCCCCTGGTACCCCGCCAACTACCCCACGGACGTGCGGTGCGTCTGGGAGGTCCGCGTGGCTGAGGGGCTCCTCGTGTTGCTGACCGTCCCGCGGCTGCGGTGAGCGCTCTGCTTCCTCCCTCTCCGGGTGGTTAGAGGGACCCGGCCTCCCTCAGCGCCTGGAGCCGGGGCCTCCGGGAGACAGAGAGGGAGGTGGTGAGAGACTGGGAGCCAGAGAGTGGGGGCTGGGAGCTGAAGAAGAGTGAGCGGCATGATGAGAGGCTGACTGGCCTGGGGTCCCCCTGGGGAGGGCAGGAGCGCAGGCTCCAGCGCTATTTAGGGGTGAGGCCCCCCAGCGGGGTGGGGGGGCTGGAAGGAGGTGGCCGGGAGGACGGCAGTTTCTGGCTGGACGCAAGGCCAATCCCGACTGTATCTGAGACACTTCTGCGGGTCCCGGGGGCTAACTCCGCATTCCCGTCCCCCCAGGTTGGAGGACGCCTTCGGGTGCCCCTACGACTTCATCGAGGTGTTCGACGGCCGGCAGGGGGCCTCGCTGTCCATGGGCAGGTTCTGTGCCGGGGCGGCCCTCACCTTCCTCTCCTCCTCCAACGTCCTGACCCTCGTGTTCAGGAGCGACGCGGCCGTCACCCACGCGGGGTTCTACGCCCTGTACCGCGCTGTGGAGCCAGACAAGAGCACCGTGCGGCCGGACCAGAGCGAGGAGAGCAAGGAGAGCGAGGAGAGCGAGGAGAGCGAGGAGAGCAAGGAGAGCGAGAGCGAGGAGAGCGAGGAGAGCGAGGAGAGCGACGAGAATGAGAGCAAGGAGAGCGAGAGCGGTAGGTGTCCCGGCGCAGACCTCGGGGACGCGCTCCCCCTGGGACCTTTGCTGCTGAGGGAAGAACCGCCTCCCAGATCTGGCCTGTGGGGCCCACCCTCAGTGCTGACCCCAGTGGCATCCCTGCGACACCAGCAGCCCCCACCCCCTGGCCCTGCCCTGCCGCTCACGTTTTTCCTCCCAAAACACGGATGAGGACGCGGAGTGAATCCCTGGTCTGCCTTAGCCACGTGAGCACAGGGAGCCCACAGGCTGCACACACGGCCTCCTCTCCCCAGAGTTGGGGCAGGGGCAGGGGCAAGTCCTGCTGCAGCCAAACCAGGCCCCGCTGCCCGGCCGCCACCTGCGGCAGCTGGTTCCACACAGAGAACCAGGGCGGGTCCCAGCGGG